TTCGAGCCCTTTGCAGAAGCATCAAACACAACTCGTGTTTTCGACGTATCTTTATCTTCGCGGACTACGGCGTGGTGAGGTAAGTATACAACCCTTTCTTTATTTGTTTCCTTTTCAGGTATTTCTTCCATATGTTCCAGTGTTAAATATTCTTTCATAACTTTAATGTATTCTTCTTTCAGCTGTGGTGATCTTCTAAATCTTTTTTCTAATTGCAGTAGCCTTTTTGTAGCGACTTCCTTAGTGTTCCCGTCAACTGATATTGGATTATTTGTTTTAAAAGGTAATTTTACAATATATCTTCCTTCTTTTGTTCTTGTATATGTCTCTTCATATATTTTTTCACACATTACTTCTTCTTTTGTAAGCTTTCTTTTATTATCAGAGTCTATCTCCCATAGTGATTTCAGCATGTTGTCCACATCTACTTGATGATGGAGAACCAGAAATGATTCTTCTTGTTGCTTCGTGTCTATCTCTCCAAACAAGATCCAACCCAAGTGTGTCTTTTGTGCACAAGGAGAACCTGCTGGACCCTTGATCAGGGGTTGTTGTATAATTTGTGCATATTCCTTTACGCCTAGAAGCAAATCTATAGGACCTGGTGTATGGAAGCTAGGATCTGCCAGGTTGAGTCCTTCTAGGTGTGGCCATTGGTGAACAGATACAGCTTTGGACGGGATCTTAGTTGTAAGTTGCTTGCTCATAACATAAGCTTGTAGATTAAGTTCAAAATTAGAATCCCAAATGGAACCTATCTGTAGCATTACTACATGCTTAACGTTTGTTTTTGTAGATCCTACTCCAATGATACTTCCTCTCGCTGATTGTTTGTTAAGATTGAGCATTTGAGCCGCCTTCTCCGTTATAAACGATGCCTGCGAACCTTGGTCTATTAGCGCACGTAAAACAACAGTATGATTTTGCTCGCTTCTAGTTATTACCGTTGCTGTCGCTAGTAGTGCTATACCCGTGTTTTGTCCAATACTGTGATGAGACGCTACCATTGTATTGACTTGGAATTCTTCTTCTTGTTCTTCTACGACGTGGTGTGATACCTCCGGTTGAATTGAGCTCGACGATACTGGAGTATCAAATTGCTTCTTATTGTGTAGAAGAGTGTGATGGCGTCGTTTACATATCCTGCATGACTGGGACAGTCTACATTGATGTGCTGAGTGTCCCGGTACCAGACAGTTAAAACATAGGTTGGTTTTCTTTACATATTGACATCTCTCAGTAGGTTGCAGTTTACAAAATTCTTTGCAGTGGCAAAGTGCGTGGTCTTCTTTACATAGATAACAAGATTTTTTACATGACGTAGCAACGTAAAAAGATCGTTCCTTTACAGGTTTTTCACGTGGACCCGATGAGGTTACAAGTTCCAAAGTGCGGTATTTCGATTGCAAAAACTTCTTTAAATCATTCCAGGTAGATAATTCTTCTGTGTCTTCCTTGTATGCATTTTGTTCCCAGTCTTTATGTGACTCTGGGTCCAACTTCTGTACCACCAGAAAAATAATTAAAGGATCCCAAGAATCCGTGGAAATATTTAAATTTTGTAAATTATTTAAACAATCTGTCGTGACGTCTAATAAATTTTTTATTTGTACTGATGATTGAGAATTAATTTTCTTCTGATTAAATAATTTTTTCAAGACTGAGTTTATTATTAATCTTTTATTACCATACCTCGACTTTAAAATACTCCATGCTTGGTCATAATTTTTATGTGTTATTTTTACGTGTTTTAACAATGTTTCGGCTTCTCCAGTAATGCTAGTCTTTAAATAATGTAATTTTTGAACATCACTTAATGCAGTATTTTCATGCACTAATGAAACAAATAAGTCCTGGAACGTAGGCCATTCTTCATAATTTCCGCTAAAGGTGGGTAATTTAATTCTCGGCAACCTGATTAGTTGTTCTGAATTGTTTGCTGAACTTGAATTGTGCGATATGGACGATTCCGATGATGAGGCCAATATATCACGCAAATCCGCCACCAATATCAAATATAAGTCTTCGTATATAAAATAATCTTCATTTACGAAGTATTGTAATATTGACCTCTGCTCTTTGGGTGTTACTCGGGTTAAATCTTCATGAGTTTGCTTAAAAGATGACCAATACTCTTCAATAATTTTAATTCTTGCTTCGACGTAACCTTTTGTTAAACGTGATTTCGGACATTTTTTCAAGTTAATTTGAGTTTTCTTTAATTTTGTTGCAATATCTTCTAATATATTTAATAATTCCGCAGTAGTACTCATCGTTATCGCTCGGGTCTCGGTTCCTTTTGTTCTCGACGGGCGATCGTAGCTCAGGTAGTTAGTTCCCTATCCGGCTCGAATTCGACCATATGTTATGGTATTAAAGTTGTTATTGTATTGCAGGACGATTATGTTTTTTAATGAAAACCACGGTACGTGTTCACTGATACGTTGTTTATTTGCGACTACTTTAAGATTCAAACAGATCGAGTACATTATGGTCAAAGTAATAATTTGTTTATATATGCATTAAAGAAAGACTCAACAACATTTAAATATTATTGAACGAAATAAAATATTTATGTATATACCTAGTTTAAAAAAATGAAAAAGAACATAAGTCAATGATTTGACGATGACAAGAGTTATGAACAGTGTTAATGTGGTCTAGGCATTGATACTTAATATGAACAAGACAATTACAATGTGTGTGTGTGTGTGTGTGTGTGTGTGTGTGTGTGCGTGTGTGTGCGTGTGTGTGTGTGTGTGCGTGTTCATAATTGTCATGTATGTGACGTTTGGTTTCTATAACAATGTTTATGAGTCGTGAGCGACACGACAGGTGGTTGAGGTAGTTATACAAACGAACAGACAATCCTTGTTCCTCCTCATCACAGTTCTTGTACAACTGGTCGCCGCTGAGACACACTAAAACTTAGCAGGCTCACCTCAGCAGTGAGGCGAAGTCGATGACATCATAACATAACACACATTAAGAAACAGATTTCTTTAGGTTATAGATGGATGAGAAGTTTTATAAATCATGTGAAGCAGCAAAATGTGAAACAGCAAAATAGTTTCAGTACATTCGCAAAAACTTTTCTTGGTTCTAAGAAGAAGACTATTTCGGTGGTAGATTCTAGCTGTAGCCAAGTTACTACAGCTCGAATATGGTCTGGCTCGACCGGGGAAATACCACCCTCTAACAGAAGATCGGCGCGAAGTATTCAATGGCTACGTTTCGTCCGATGAGTGAGAGAGCCGGTTAACCTTTAACACCCTTTCCTGCCTACTCCCTTTTCTCTCCCTTTCCCACCTTTTCATCCCCCACTTTCCATATCAAGGGTGGCAGCACATCAGTAAATCTATGCTGCGAATGGCCATGGGCGACGGTACTACCTCCATCAGGTAGAACGTCTGCTCAGTTGCCCCTTTATCATAAAAAAAAACTATTCTTCACGGTCTCTCCCTTGATTTCGTTAGGATTAAGTTAACAATTTCCACCAAACGTCTCGTTAATAAGTTAACAATATAATAAGAGTAGTTCTTGATAGCTCGTGTTTTTACGGTCAGTACTTCAGTCAGTAAGTCGTACGTGTAGTGTCGCTCACTGTCCGTTCTAATCGTGTTTTAATAGCGAGCGACCTCTCTCCGCGTTTAGTTCGCGTTTCGGCTTTTATAATAAAAAACAATTTAACTGATATCATTAACACGCCGAGCTCACCGCGCTCACTGACGACTGAGAGCGAGCGGCCAGTCATTGTGACATAATTATATACTTTGTAATTCCTAAACTTAAGCATTTACAAGTTTCTGGGTCGAGCGGATTAAAAGACGTTTTAAAATGAGTACCTTCATGAGATCCGATAATATGTTCTCATTTTTATTTTGTACATCATTCAACATTACTGATTGTAACTCAATTAATGTATGCTTAACGCGTCGATATGGTAATTAATACCTGAGAGCGTCCAGCCTCACAAACACACATACACACACACACGCTCACACACACACACGTGGTCGGGACGCGTTGAAGTCTTTATCATAAATATATCATGATGAGGTTATTATCTAGAGCAGAGTACAGTATCCACAACAACACGTAGTTCCCAGTCGGCGGCGGGTACATCTGTAGCATTTTATACAATATTGATTCCCGAGACTCTTAGTTGATGATGGTTCAAAAGGAACTGAAAAAAAAAGACCTGAACAACAATCTCGCCACAAGTCGGCCTTTATGGAAACGCAGGACAAGGAGGGCCGACCACGAATAATTGGGAAAACGGTGTCCGGTGCGGGGCCCGCCTGCCTCATGTCGCTCTCCTCATTCTATTATAATGTTGTTGTTGTTCGTTTATATCGACAAGATTCCATCCTGAACAAGGCTCCATCCTGTATCAATGTGTATACAATGTGTTCCTCTCCGCATGTAAGTCGCTACACTACCGGCTACACTACCGACCGGGCGGGTCGCTGGAGGCGGTGAGGCGGCTCCCTCGGACACGCCCGGCCGGCGGTGTGGTGTCTACTCACAGACACACATTTAATAACTATAATAACATATAATGAAACATATTTTGTTTAAAAAATAATCGTCATCATCGTATTCGCTACTTACTTTAACAATTACTCAAACATCACAATTCTTCGGCGGGTTCGAAAAATATATTATTTTACGATAGATAAAAGAAGGTGTTATATTTATAGTTAGCACTCATGAAGTACAGGATAGAAAGTACTTTTTTTATGTAATAAAAATAAGTCAAACGTTTTCTTCACCAAAACAAACTTCTTAAAGATTGTGAAAGATTTAAAAACTGCAACAGAATAAAGTTACGTGTTTACAACATTAACGTTTTATAGAATCAATACTCGTATACAGATGTTACACCACCACGTGACGGTCGTTCCTACTACCTCCCGTCACACGAGCACATTCTGCTCCTCAGCGGACGTGCTCCTTCTATTTGTTTCTTATCGTGTGTGTGTGTGTGTTGTCTGCAGCTAGCGGCGGGGGCGGGCGTGTTCGAGCTGCAGATCTTGGAGTTCTCCAACTATCGCCTCCAGTTGTCATCGGGCGCGTGTTGCGGCGGCGGGGCCGCGCCCCCGGCCCCGGCCCCCGGAGCCCCCGGTGCGGGCGGTGCCTGCGGGCAGCCCTGCCGCACACGGTTCGCTCTCTGCCTCAAGGAGTACCAGTCGGCCGCGGCCCCCGGCGCCTGCTCGTTCGGCCGCGCCTCCTCCCCCGTCCTAGGAACAGACTCCTTCACTCTCTCGGACCCCCTCCACACACTGTCTCTCCCTTTCTCGTTTCGATGGACCGTAAGTATTTACAAGGAGAATAATATATAACTCTTAGAAAAGGTTTTTCATTTATATTTTAACCGATGTTCGTATTCCACAGCGCTCGTTCACACTGATACTTCAAGCCTACGATGACTACAACTACACAGACCCCGGTAAGATCGGTTCCATACTCGTCTCGGTGTGGATATGTCTGTAATCTTATAAAGTAAATGTTATTGTGACTCGTAGAAGAGAGCGGTCTGATCGAGGAGGCCTGGTGGTCGGGCATCGTGGAGCCCGGGTCGGAGTGGCACGCCCTGAGGCACGCGGGCGCCGCGGCGGCCGTGGCGTACCGGGTGCGGGTGCTGTGTCAGCCCAACTACTACAACACCACCTGCACCACCTTCTGCCGGCCCCGGGACGATAAGTTCGGTCACTACGCCTGCTCGCCCGCCGGGGACAAGCGCTGCCTCCCCGGCTGGCAGGGAGATAACTGCGAGAAACGTAACTATGAAACTAAACTTTTATGTTAAACTTATAAATTGGTTCTTTGTATGATACTCAAACATATGACCACTTTTATAAAATACTAGTTTTTGCCCGCGACTTCGTCCGCGTTAGTTTGGTCAAGAGTAATATATGTAGGTATAGCTGACCAGGCGAACTCTATTCCGTCTTAGAGGCCATAAATAATCAGGTTTTGCCTGTTTCAATCAAACAGAATGATTGACATATTAGTTAGTTGTCAAATCTAATGACAAAAAACCGTTTGTATGGGAAATAGAAAAGAGCAATTTTTAGGGTTTTCCCGGCAATTATTCCAATTTTTCTCACCTTTTAAACCTTTCCTGGACTTCCAGGAGTATTTTAAGACTAAAATTAGTCAAATCGGTTCAGCCGTTCTCGAGTCTTAGCGAGACTAAGGAACAGCAATCCATTTATATATATTTTATATATATATATATATATATATAGAAGACTAGGAGACCTGGCGAACTTCGTATCGCCCTATAATAAAGAAATATCAATTACGTTTTTTTTTTATATTTTTGGAGTTTACCTGTAAGCCATAAATCTCCGTGTTTTGAAGTGCGACAGAATGATTGACATATTAGTTAGTTGTCAAATCTTATGTCAAAAAAAACGTTCGTATGGGAAATAGAAAAGGGCTGTTTTTATGGTTTTCCCAGTAATGAATCAATTTTTTTCAGCTTTTATACCTTCCCTGAACCTCCACGAACATTTCAAGACTAAGATAAGATAAATCAGTTCAGCTGTTCTCGAGTTTTAGCGAGACTAAGGAACAGCAATCCATTTTTATATATATAGATTTGACAGCTTGTCTTTCATTCAGTCCTTCTACTTTATGTTCAAGGAATTTGTGAAGAAATAAAATACTTTATGAATATCTTTTCTAAAATAATATTTATTTTTTTTATTAACATACATATCTAATCATATTTTTTATTTTATATAAAATTTTATTATTTATTTCTGTTCTACTTCTTATCTGTTTTACTTCTTTGTGTGTGTCCTAAATGAGATTGTTTTTCAATTAACTTTTTTTTTGTTGCAACACATATTTTATGGACTTTACCGTAACGTGTTGAGACAGTTATTTTAGCCTTTATGATACTAAATATAAATGTTTCTCTCAATCTTTTGTATGTCTTCTCCAGCTGTCTGTAAGGAAGGGTGTCATCCAACCCACGGCCGGTGTGACAAGCCTGGTGAATGTTCGTGAGTGTCACTGACCTTATCGTTGTATTGTATGTTATCTACATATAATGTACTAATACCCTCATATTATTTGTATTTTCTGTCACGCCAGTTGTCGTCCGGGGTGGCGAGGCGAGCTGTGTTCTCAGTGCCAGCCGTACCCTGGCTGTAAGCACGGCTACTGTAACGGCTCCTCGTGGGACTGTACGTGCGACACTAACTGGGGCGGTATACTGTGTGATCAAGGTTAGCGTGCTCTCACTCTTTATACATCTTTTTAGTTAAGGTTGTGTTTTTCTTTTTATTTTTTTATTATAAATTCAAATCCATGAAATAAATCTAAAAATGTCGTTGAAAATTAAATCAGGGTAAAGACAACTACAAACGTATTATTTAAAAAGTATAAAATAAAAAACTGGCCAATCTAAAATTAATTAATTATTTTTTTTCATCAAAACAGTTATGTAACTAACTTGAGATTGCAGTTTACCCTTATTTTCGCTGTCGGTAAATCGATAGATCACCCGAGTTTCACATTTTTTAAACACATACATATTAATATGAAAAATAATAATAGTTTATTTTTTCTTAAATTTTTACATTTGTAGAGGTTAGTGATTTGTGTTGAGTATAATATATTTATGTTAGGTGACTGTTCTCACTCTGACTGTAACTAAACTTAAAACAAGACTTTATTACTGTTTAATAAAAATATATTTTTGTTGTGATTTTTTTATATATGTTACAAATATAAAGCATGTGTGTGTGCGCGTGCTTGAGTGTGTGTGTGTGTGTGTGTGAAGTTTAAAATTGTACTTTACGCGTATTTGCCCTCATATTATGTCAGTGGATATTTATTTTATAAAAGCGTAGGAGTACCATGAGTACGTTTAGCATATTGTATATTCAGCAAGGTTGTCCTTATTTGTATAGGCTCAATATGTTAATAAAGTTTATACAACAATTGAATATGTGAATTCCTTGCTATCAGATCTCAACTACTGTGGAACCCACGAGCCCTGTCAGCACGGAGGTACGTGTGAGAACACAGCGCCCGACCAGTACCTGTGTACCTGCGCCGAAGGCTTCTCCGGCGTGGACTGCGAGCGAGTGGACAACCCGTGCGCCCCGCAACCCTGCGCTCACGGGACCTGCTCCCTGGGGCCCGCGAACACCTCCCCGGCCTCACACGCCGCGCCCGCCGGCTTCGTCTGCTCCTGTGACCGAGGCTGGACCGGCCCGCGCTGTGACGCCGACGTGGACGACTGTGCCAGTGGCCCGTGTCACAACGGCGGGGTATGCCGGGACAGACTCGACGCCTTCCTCTGCGAGTGTACCGCCGGCTGGACCGGAGCCACCTGCACCGAAGGTATTTTGTTGGCCATAGAGGGATTAACATCACTCGGAGAAATAAAAAAACAATGAAAATTATTCTATTTGAGTTAAAAGAATAGAGTTTTTAATTCTGATATCATAATTGGAAAGAGGAAATGGTTGCAGGGAAAGGTATAACACACATGATGTGTGTTTATACACTTACATATAAACTTAATTTTGAAGATGCGTGATACAATACGAAATGTACAGTTCTTTAGCTTAAGAACGTATATTAAAATCCAGTGCAATACATATTGGAATCATGATAAAAATAAACTCACAGACACCGAAACGAAACGAAACGATTCAGTTTAAGTATACGAATATAAGTTGTACCAGATGTCATCTGACTTTGTCGAAGCTCCTAGTACTTTGACTCAGTGTATGTTATATGAAGATTTTTTTTATGCAATAATGAATAAAACAATGAACTTAAATACTAATCTATACTAATATTATAAAGCTGAAGAGTTTGTTTGTTTGTTTGTTTGTTTGAAAGCGCTAATCTCCGAAACTACTGGTTCGAATTGAATAATTCTTTTTGTGTTGGATAGTCCAGTTATCGAGGAAGGCTGTAGGCTATATAACATCACGCTACGACCAATAGGAGCAAAAATATAGTGGTAAATGTGTAAAAAACGGGAGAAATTATTTCATCTTTGAAGCCTTCTGTTGCGTGCGCCGTGAAAACGGTTCAAGATACACAAAAAATATGTATTATAGAATAATCGCTCTTTTAATGATCTAAAAAACATTCCGCGACAGTATATGTCTATCTTTTAAGATTAACTCACAAAAACCGTTTTTATGGTACCTAATTTGGTTGAAATAATTTGTTTAAGTTGTATCAACATAATAATATTAATCTTTATTCAAATAAACAAATAAATATGTTGTTGGTAAAGAGTACTTCATTGTGAATTAAAAAAAACACAGGTTTTATCCTGAAAATGCTACGGGAACTCGACCATTCCGAAAACCCCGCAAGAACGGGAACTATGTGGGAAGAACCAAAAATCTGCCGGAAGTCACTATTCCACGCAGACGAAGTCGCGGCAAAAGCTAGTGTATAAATATAAATTATGTATACTTATTCGAAAAATATTAACAAACCTCACTCATTCTCAAATTACCTTTAAAACCAAAACCCATTCTTACCGCACAAGGAAAAGGTATAAACTAGAAACACCTAAAACTCGAACCAAGTATAGTGCGTTTGTTTTAAGCTGAACTTTGCATTTGTGTGAGTGTACATGGATAATGTCAAATTTTTGAATGCCTCGTTCTTTTCTAGTTCTGAACCGGTTTATTCTGCTTTTACTCCGCCCCGCACTTACAGGAGCAGTATTAAATGTTGAATACGCAATGTCGAGTGAATAAGAATTTGTATAGTTTTTTCAAAATACTTATTAATCAATAAATTTTTTTCCACAATATTCATAATATTTCCATCTGGCCTTCTACAAATTTTGCTTATTTTGTAGCACTTATGTTATGTATCTATTTAAAATATAATAAAATTTAATTCTAAAACTTTTTTGTCTAAGTCTACTTTTACTTTCACTCACACAAATGCAAAGCTCAGCTTAAGTCTAACGGATTATACGGCATTAAAACTATTTCATTTGAAGGAGCACAGCTGTATAACTCTTTGCCTCTAAGTGTTGCAAATTCAAAATCTCTAAATATATTTAAAAAACGATTAAGAACCCATATATTAGATGATATACCCATATTTTACTGATCTTGTTTAATACCACTACTGTTTATTATCTTAATTGTAGTTATAATTTTAATATTTCCTTTGTAAGCGAACTTTGTTCTTTTTGCAAATAAACTTCTTTAAACCTAACCTTTCCAGATATAGATGAATGCGCGGAAAATAACGGAGGGGCGGAGGGTGCCCTGGGGCCGTGCGTGAACGCCGCGGCCTGCAACAACTCGGCGGGAGGCTACTCGTGCACATGCCTCGCGGGCTGGACGGGCCGGGACTGCGAGCTGAACGTGGACGACTGCACCGGCCAGTGTCTCAACGGAGCCACCTGCATCGACCTCGTGGACGACTTCCACTGCGCCTGTGCCGCGGGCTACGCTGGGCGGACCTGTGCTCGAGACGTGGACGACTGCGCCTCACGACCCTGTCGGAACGGCGGTGAATGCGTCGACCTGCTGGACGCTTACCGCTGTATTTGTCCAGTCGGCTTCTCCGGTACCGACTGTGAAGTGAGTGCTCTCGAGCGGCGACGCCAGTTCGGTCACGATACGTTCGCTGTAGTGATGCTCTTTATAATAAACATGCTCCTCGACTGACCACTCCTCTTATTATGTGTTTACTTGTGGACACTGGACATGCTTAATCTTTAACCATTTAATAAAAATGCTTGATTAATTTTCATCTGCTGCACTAACACATTAACACATCTGCTTTTAGCTGACCTCCTGTTACGGACGCTACTGTTCGGTGAGATCTGAGTTACATAAAGTTTATTTCTCTTCTATCAAAGAGACTCCTGAATGATGACTATGAATGTAAATGTAGGAGGACCGTGATCACTGCACCGGCTCGCCGTGCGCCAACGGGGCCACGTGCTACACCGCACAGAGCGACTACTACTGTCACTGTTCGCCTGGTTGGACCGGCAAGAACTGTACGCAGCGGGCTGCGAGGGAACGTGCGTTAAACATCATTTTATTTATTAATCAAATTAGCGTTACTGTGATTTACGTCACTCTTGATTGTATTAATAAAACGTGTTCGTCTCTTTAGAACTGGATGAATGTACTCCAAATCCGTGCAGTAACAATGGAAGCTGCCTACCGAGCCCCAAAGGATTTACTTGTATTTGTGTTGAAGGATTTGCAGGTATTTATTTACTTGACTAAATCTGTACAAACTATTTAATACGATCCTGTAGGATCCTGGAACAACAAATCATATTTTTTACATAACATACTAAAAGTTGTCATTATTTGACCAAAATATAACTTTCAACGTAACCTTAGATAATAAATGAATAAATCCATTATTCTTATATAGTTATTCTTATATAGTTTTTTAACAAAATCCAGAACGTTTAATTAATATTTATACTTCCCAAAACAACTAAGGCGAGACCTGTGCTATCCGTGAGGAGACTCGCTGTGAGCTCGTGTGTGTCAACGGCGGCTCATGTGTCCGCGGCCCGCTCCCCGCGCCCGCTGGTGGCTCTCTCGCCAACCATCACTGTGCTTGTCCGCCAGGCTGGGCCGGTGCCCTCTGCGATCTCCCCATATCTCCGCCGGTAATGTCCCTACATCCTGCTACATATATTATCTCATCTGAGGCTTATATATAAACATGAGTGATGTAATTACAGGTAGCTCCGGTCGCATCCGTTCCAATGCAGACAGCCATAATCCCCATCACTAACGCGGGTATACCGTGTTCTTGTCTCCACGGCGGGTCTTGTGTGTCCGTCGGAGGAGCAGGTACATGGGCGTGTGTGTGTCGCCCCGGCTGGAGCGGAGCGCACTGCGAGCGAGCGGCGGACGGTTGCTCCTCCAATCCGTGTCGTAACGGAGGTCGTTGTGTGGGGGGCGCCGGCTGGTGGACGTGTGAATGTACCCCGGGCTGGTCCGCTCCTGACTGTTCGTCTCCGTCCTGTGACCCCACTTGTCCTTCGCCTGCAGTCTGTACAGCATCGGGCGCGATCGCGAGATGCGTGTGTCCGCCTCCGCCAGCTCGACTAGCCAGGCGGTGTCTAGAATGTAAGCATGATTATTTCTGAAACTCTCCTATTTTGCAGTTGTTTAGAACCTGAATTTACAAAGTTATTATATTTAAAAAGTTACCAATGATAAATTGTAGTAAGCCTAAAAAAGAATGTTATCCTCGATTATTCAACGAAAGGAAAAGCTTTTGGTTGCATGATTTTGTTTCATTAGATTATAATTTCCAAATTTATTTCACATATTTATACACATTACAAAACGTTTAATCCCAGTTAAGATTTTTTTTTAAACTACTTATATGGTATGCAATCTTCGCGCATTAGAGACACATCAATAATATCAGAATAATAATAATATATTATTCTATAGTGGTTGCAGGACTTGGAGAAGAAAGTGGCGAAGCAGCAGATGGAAATGAAAGTGGTAGCGAAAGTACTGCCGAAGCCAGCGATACACCTGGGGCGTGTGGTGCAGACAACGGCACCTGGTGGTGGGGCTGCAACGCCTGTCGCTGTGTGGGAGGAGCGCCCTCGTGCACCAGGCTCTGGTGCGGATTACCCGACTGTCTCGCTCCCGCCGCACTGCCTTGTAGGACTGATGAGGTAACTTTGATTTCAAAATTATCGATTTTTATTCATCTAGAGGGTGTACGTCCAATTCCTAATATTTACTACACAAGAATATTCTATTATGATATTGTTATTGTTGTATTTTATATATATTAAAGAAATATTTGTGTAAGGTGTGTGTTCCGGCCGCACCTGCCTTGTGTCTACGTCCACCTTGCTCCCCACTGGGGGAGTGTCGTCGTGTATCAGGTCGACGTGTAGAGCCTCCAGCGTTACCTGCGCCGGCCGCTTGTTGGCCTGGAGCTCGTACCTCCCCGCCTCCCGGCTGTGCTCGTGCCGAACTGCGTCTTGCTAGAGAGCGTCTAGCTCGAGGCGCACACGTGGAGCGGGCGTGCGCAGCGCTCCGGAGAGCCCTCGCTGCAGCGCTTGCAGACCGAGCTCCCCCCGCGCCGCCACTTACATTACTTTGTGATCTTGCTCCCGATGATGACGATGCGCTGGACCTTGCACTCGTGAGTATAATTTTATTATATTTTTCTTATTAATATACCTGTGAGTGTAATAGTTTTTTTTACAATATTTTTCAGTGGGCGGGAGAGGAGGATGACTCCGAGGGTGTAAGTGCTCTAGCGGCGGCCGTTCGTGTTCTGAGTGAGCTTATATCTCGTCGCCGATTAGCACATCATGCTCTCCTCGCTGCAGCCCTGCGACTTCGTGTCGAGCACGGCACACCGACCCTGCCTCGCGCTGCAGTGGCGGAGGCAGCTGCTAACAGCAGTGGAACCGGAGGTGCCTTGTTAGCTCTGGCAGCTGGGGCACCTTTACTACTCTTAGGGGCGGCCGCCGGAGCATTCCTTCTTGTCCGTAGACGGCGTGCCGCTGCAGCCGCTGCGATCGATGAACGGTCACGTTGCCGTGACGAAGAAAAGTCCAATAACCTACAAAATGAAGAGAATCTGCGTCGCTACGCGAACCCTCTGCGGGAGGACCGGGTGCCGCGTGAGGTGGACGAGCTGCCTCGCGCACATTCCTTGTATAAGGCGCAAAATGCCGACGTGCGGAACAACACGCCACCGCGGGATAAAGAGTTGACGAAGCGCGTACTGCCGCCGCCGGAGCCTCCGCCCGCGCGTCACCCGCCGCCCGAGCGCCTCACCGTGCTCGTCTAGTGTGATACTAGCCTAAAGTAGTATAGCGTAGCCACGTCGCACCTTATTTATTGAGTTGTAGAATGACCGTGTTTGTAAATATGTATTTTTGTAAATAATGTTAAAAAGAGTGATCTAATTGAATAAATAATTTTGTATGTCCAATTGAGAGATTGTTTGATATGATTTATATTTGTAAAGAAAGGTTGTAAAGAATTATGAAAGAGATCGTTTTAATAAACATAACTAAATATTATATGTATCTTTTTGATTTGAATTTGAATTAAGAATAATAATTCTGCAAACGGTGTGAATTGTGATAATTTTAATCTATTCCAATTTACAATTCCCTATTAAAAGAAAGGAATGGATCAATGAAGCAATTAAAAGCTTATGGAATAGGTACCTAATTGAAATATATTACCGAATGCTAAATAAGAAAGTTTCAATAACAAATTATTGTAAGCAGACGAAAAAGCAAATAAGTGAAACACTTGCATTATCATTGTAAAACTTGAAGTTACCGCAAGTATGTAAGAACTATTATGACTTAGCCTCTCAGCCATAACCGCTCATTCGCATTCTTTTCTGCGCCTCCTCATTTATTCTGGAGGTTGTGCAAGTTTATATCACGTACCTGACTGTCGCCTGCAGGTTGCCTCATATGATATAACAAGGGCGACAGTTTCTTTCTTATCAACGGACTCAGTATTTCGATCAAGTTTTGAAATCGCCGCACTCCATCTAATCCAATTCTTTTCAAATTCCGAGAGTAATCATTCTTAGACAGCCTTTTAGTTCTTCCTGATAACCTGATAACGTCTCTGGAGAAAGTGGACCTTTTGAACCTTCTTTATCAACATCCACTATTGTGTTCAAAGGTCATCAAACCACATTCCCCGGACAAAGCGGACTATAGTCTGTATTGGTTTTATAATTTAAAATCCTGTGTATTTACTATGTTTTATTTTAATCTATTTATTCTCTTCTCAATATATAAAACACAAAAGGAGAAAAAAAGTATTCACAGCAGCCGTACCGTCATCTTCGCCGAGAGGCGGGGACGCTATAAGTGATGTGATATATCCTAGCTTTTACATTACAAAAATATAGAAATAAGTTTCTACAGGTAATTAAATATCTTCTCTTATTAGTTACTAGATGACTATATCCCTATAATCAAGCTATATAATCAAGAAGTATCTATTACCTTTTTATCTCAATGAAGTTGTGCCTAGTAATGGTAGACGACCGACACACGACGACGATCCCGACATCAGCGTGAATACTAGGTGTGAATCTTGCTTTAAAGTTAAAAAATGACCTCTCAATTAATAGCAGGAGCAAACATAAGTGATTCTCCAAAAGTGGCAGTTATTACCGTGTCATCAAGTATACCAGAATTTTGGTGTGACCAACCGCGACTATGGTTTATTCAATGCAAAGCCATCCTTGTACCTCCAAAATTATCGGATGAAGCGCAATTTAACTTAGTTGTCACCAAATTAGGTAAAGACGTTATACAACAGGTCAGTGACATTTTGCTTAAGCCGCCAGATGTCAAGAAATATGATGCCTTGAAATAGAGATTATTAAAACTCTACGAAGAATCGGAAATAAGACAGTTTCAAAAACTACTAAGTGAAATGGAACTTCGGGATCAGAAACCATCTCAGCTTCTACGGCGAATGAGAGACCTGGCACGTGAAAAAAATTTCGGACGAGACATTACGTTTAATGTGGCCCTCCATCGGTTCGAGGTGTTCTAGCAGTCAGTGAGGTAATAGACCTTGAAAATTTGGCTGCCATTGCCGACAAGGTTATAGAAACAACACGAGTACAGTGTACGTGTACAGTGTATACTGTAAACTGTACCGTAAGCAGTGTACACTGCAAACAAAACAGTGTATACTGCAAACTGTACAGTGTATACTGCAAACTGTGCAGTGTATACTGCAAACTGTACAGTGTGCTGTGTATACTGCAAACTGTACAGTGTATACTTCAAACTGTACAGTGAATACTGTAAACTGTACCGTGTGCAGTGTTTACTGCAATTTAAACAGTGTATACTGCAAACTGTGCAGTGTATACTGCAAACTGTTTGCAGTCGAGTGGTCGAGTGGTCGAATGGTCGAGTGGTGAGTGGTGAGTGGTCGAGTGGTGTAATTTTTACAACTTTTTTTTCACAGGTACAATAATTATTATAAACCCAAATATTTTGTGATAAATAAGTATATACCTAAATTAAATGAAATTAACTTTGTAGTATTAATTTTATATTTTTAATTATTATTGATTTTATTTGTTTATTTCAGAGTGGTCTAGGTTTGTAATGTTAAAAGTAGACCGTACTTACAAAGAATTAAAAAGATAAAGTCTTTAAGTCTTTAACACATAGGGGAATAGTGAATAAAAGTCGTATGTTTACTCAGAATATATTACCAGCTGACTTTTTATTATTAACTAGTTTTTGCCCGCGACTTCGTCCGCGTTAATTTCGTCATTAGTAATATATGTATAGCTAACCGGGCAAACTCTTATCCGTCTTAAATAACCAGGTATTGGTATTTATTAAATTTTTCCTGTTTCAATCGAACAGAATGATTGACATTTTAGTTAGTTGTCAAATCTAACTTAAAAAAAACGTTTGTATGGGAAATAGAAAAGGGCTGTTTATAGGGTTTTCCCAGAAGTGAATCAATTTTTTTCAGCTTTTATACCTTCCCTGAACCTCCACGAACATTTCAAGACTAAAATAGGATAAATCCGTTAAGCCATTCTCGAGTTTTAGTGAGACTAAGGAACAGCATTTATTTTTTATATATATAGATTTATGTGTAACAGTCGCGAGAGTGCCCTCTTAGAAAGATGATGATTATTATAACTGTAACTAATCTTCTATACATATATATAAAAATGGATTGCTGTTCCTTAGTCTTGCTAAAACTCAAGAACGGCTGTACCGATTTGGCTAATTTTAGACCTGAAATACTCCTGGAAGTCCAGGGAAGGTTTCAAAGGTGAGAAAAATTGGAATAATTGCCGGGAAAACCATAAAAACAGCCCTTTCCTATTTCCCATACAAACGTTTTTTGACATTAGATTTGACAACTAACTAATATGTCAATCATTTTGTTTGATTGAAACAGGAAAAACCTGATTATTTATGGCCTCTAATACGGAATAGAGTTCGCCTGGTCAGCTATACCTACATATATTACTCTTGACCAAACTAACGCGGACGAAAAGTCGCGGGCAAAAACTAGTTTACTTATAAAATTGTAAAAATACTGGTAGGTAAATTTTATACATTCTGTATATAACTTTATATTTTAATTTCTTATAAATAGTCAAAAGTATAGTATAAGAATTGGTATTTTAATTTACCAGATAACTTAAAATCTCATATTTCTTATATGAATTTCTTTTTAATAACTATTTATAACAGAATTTTATAAGTTCAAAGACTAAATAATAAACCCATTATTCTTGATTCATACTTTGACAGTGTCATTGTCAAAGTCTACTTGCACAATAACAGTGATTCTTTCTTTAGTGACGATACACAAAATACACTTTATTTGTTATAATTAATAAAATTTAAATAAAAATTGAAATAAATTATTCAAGCTAGCATCTAGAAGATTGTTGCTGATAGGTTTTCATAACTTTTCACCGACTTTAACATACCGAACGGGCTCCAATAGGTTAGAATCTGCTTTTTGTATTGATTGGTTTTAGTGCTGTGTGTTTAATGTCGTAATTACAAGGTAAATATTGACCATATTTGTAAAATAATCTATATAAACCATTAACTATATATTCTTGACGAAATTACTACAATAAAATTACAACATATTAAATGAAAAAGACGTATGTTTTACAAGAAAACAATGCAGGAATATGTAATAAAAAGTTTTTATCACATTTTAAACAATATTTTTACGTTATCAGATTTTTATTATTGGTTTTAAAGATTAATTTTAGTAGATAATTTTACGAAAAAATTCCTCTTCGAAATATGCTCTGAAGTGTAGGTGTCTGAATAACATGCATGATTTTTTCTTCAAATATTTGTTCTTATAATAATGAATGATATTATTTTTTTTTTTGTATTGGATATTCTTTTATCTCATTTATAAAACCGTAATCATTGCAACCATACTATTAAGCTTTGGCATTGAAAAATATGTAAATAGTAAAATTTTTATTAACATAATAGTTAATATCAATAAAAAAATATTTTTATTAAATTTTCTATTAATCCTATGTTGGCTATTGAACATAATTTTTATAGACAGTATAAGGTATGTTGCATTTCTGTAACTAATTTGTATAGTTATCATTGTATGGTTTGTACACTCTAAAATTCTATTAAATGTAGTTTTAGCATTTAGCTTTTATAATTATCGGCCAGCATTTTCATGTAATACAAATACAGTAGTACCCCGATTATCCGGACCTCGGTTATCCGAATTCGCGATTATCCGGACTGCCAATCGCGACTAGTTTATTCTAACACTAACTGTGCCCTCGACTTCGTTCGCGTGGAATAGTGACTATGAGCAGCGTTTTTTTTTAAATATATACTTATTTTTATTTTGGATCATAATCACAGTCATTTTGGGTAGCTAAAAAACCTACTTTACTGTAATGCTTCTCTATATACAATATTAGACGTATGGCCATCGGGGGTGAATGCATAGGCTGCTGGGATTGCTAACACGGGACAGAGCCACATACAATTGACACACCCGGTCGAATATTGAACGCAGTTCTTCAGTTCTTTAATTTGACATAACTTTTTTATTTATGAACCGATTGACATGAAACAAACACTAAAGCATAACTGAAGCATACCACAATATATTCGTGAAAACCGCATCCAACTCGGATCAGCCGTTTCTGAGATTAGAGTGAACAGACAAACAGCCAAAAAAAAAGTTGATTACATTTTTGGGTTCGGCATCGACATAACGATAATCCCTGTTATTTTTTTATTTTTATTTTCAATGTAC